TACTGTTTTTCCATAATAAATTAGTTCCATTTTGTAGAATATTTTATTGTGCAATTTCACAACTTTTGTAATATTATTTTTGAAAAAACAAGTTATTACCAAATTACTGATTATTGAAAAAAATTAATTAGTGTTACTCTAGAAAAGAGACTTAAATTCGGTACTATTTGTAAAAATATTTTTTAAAAAATTTTTAATCTTAAAATTAAAAACAAAAAATGAATTTACCTAAAATAATCTCATTTTTATTTATTTCTGAAAAACAAGCATTTTCTAAAGACTTCGTTAAATAATCTTAGGGAAAAGAATCTCACCTTTGCGCGCTCTTTCAAAAATAATCTCACTATTTGGTGTCACCATAAATAATCTCACCTTTCCGCATGTGTACGAGTTTTGGATCACCGTATAAACGCTAACAGTCACATAATGGAATTTTTGGAAAATGCATGTTTTCTCACATAAATGAAAGGTGATACTATTTTAGGTAAATTCGTTTTTCCTGTTTAATAATATCTAAAATTAAATTTAAATTTATTTTATAAAAATATTTTCAAAAATAATACTCCACCAAATTTAAATGTTTTTTGTGTGAAACTAATTATTTTTATCAATAATCAATAATTTGATAATAATTGAAGAATAAATTATTCTATACAATGGAGCTAATTTATTAACTTCATAACTCATTACATTTTTTTTATAATTTGCAATTACTTTTAATGTGTGATACTTCGAATTTCTTTTTGATACTATACTATTATTATTTTTATAAAAAATGGTACTATAAAACTTGTGAATATTTACGATAATTCGATATAAATTTTTTTTCACAAAATAACATCACAATAGTTGTGAAGGTAACACTATTTTTTTTCTCTGAATGGAACTTTTATTTTTATAACTTACTACATTTTTTTGTTGTATTGTAATTATTTTTTTCATGAACAACACTCCCAGATGTTTATTGATTATCTTTTATTACCCGTATTATTTTTTCTAAAATTGAACTATCCAACTTGTGATTTTTTTCGATAATTCAGTACAAATTTTTTCCCCAAAATAATAATTCAAAACTTGTGAAAATGGATCAATATTTTCCCCTCCAAAACGGCACTAATTAATTTTATAACTCACTACAATTTTTTTGTATTGCAATTTCTTTCTTGAATGATACTCTAAATTATTTTTCGATAATCCAATATTATATTTTCCTTAGAACATAAATTGTTATATATATATATATATATATATATATATATATATATATATATGTAAATTGTTATATATATATATATATATTTGTTTAAAAAATGGAGACAAATTTCTAACAAGAGTGTACTATTATATTTTAAAAACATAAATTTTAAAATTAAAATAAAAAAAATTAAAAGGTAAATTTGCCTAAAATAATTCCATATTTCATTTATTTGCGAAAAACATGCATTTTCCGAAAATCCCGTTAAAGGGCGGTTAGCTTTTTATCAGCGGCCTAAAACTCGCACACATACGGAAAGGTAGGATTATTTCGGGTGACACTGAAAAGTGGGATTATATTTGAACAACCTGAGAAGGTGAGATCAATAAGATAATACTTTTCATAACCTTAGCATCTTAAAGCCGACCCAAAACTATCACACATGAGAAAATGTGGGATTATTTTTCGTGACCATAAAAAGTAAAATTATTTTTGAAAGAACACAAAAATGTAGGATTATTTGAAATAATTATATTTTCCTTATTATTATCATTATAATGATTAAGTCTATGTTATTATTTGTAGAGTAGATCTCTCAACCATTGTAACCATCTCTTCCTATTTATTCATTGCCTATGATCAATGATAATTAACGCTTTCAAAAAAAGGTGGAACGCCCACCCCGACCTTATTGAGAGAAATCAAGCTAATAAAAGTCTTGATGATTTCTAGAATCAGGGCCTAATTTGAGTGATTAAAAATGACGTGTAATAATTTATATTCCATATGTTACATGTGTTGTTACTAATTTATTTAGAGAAAATTATGTACATAGGACGAACAATTGTGTATTACGTAAATAAGACATAATTCGCGCATAATTCTAAAATATTGCGGAAAAGACTACCACATTTACTAAAACTAGCATTACTACCTAGTTGCGGAGGTAGTAAGCACTGTAAATTAACATTACTGAATATTGATATTACGGTCTAATCGTGAGAACAGTATCCACTGATAACCAATATTATGTTCTAATTGCGAAGACAACAAAGAATTCAGTGATTATCAAGAAGAGAAAAGGGCAAAATGAAATTGAAAATACGATATGCACCATTATAGGGCGGACAAAAGAAGTTCTTTCCATAGTTTTCAGAACCGGGGACCGAACTGATCAAGGTACTGGTTCACTGGTCGGACCGGTGGTTCAAGTGGTCGAACCAGTAGTTCTAGTTCTCGCATATTTGAAAATTATATATATATATATATATATATATATATATATATAATATTTACACACACATGAAAAATTATATTTAATGAAATAATACTTCCTTTATCTATAAATAAAGAATTTATGATGTATTAATAAATTTATAAGCAATTTAAGTATTTGAGTAGTAGCATTAAATTGAAAAAAATGGATATTTAAAAGAATAAAACAATTATGAAATACTCCGTAAGAGGTGATATTATTTGTTTTATAATTTACACAATATTTTTAAAATATTTAAATGAATGAATAGTTTTGTGATATGAAGTTCATATTAGAATCAATTGCATCAATATTTTAGGATTTGAATCACAGTTTCAACATTATATTTTAAATTTTTTAAAAATAAAAAAAATCTTTTTGAATATGTATACTTGTATATTTTTGAGAATGTAATATATAACTAATAATGTCTTTATACAACAAAAGGGATTGTAGCATGGATAGTAGATAGCCTAACAAGAGAGCAATAGGTTGTGTGTTCAAAATCCCCATTAGTAAGAATTTTTGAGACATTTGTGCAAAAAAAACCGGTCACCGGTCAAACCGGCCTATTCTTACCTGTTCCAGCCGGTTCGGTGCATATGCCGGTCTTTGGAGGTGGAACGGACCGGTTTGGGTTCCAGTTCACTGGTTCCCTGTCCAAACCAGCCGTTCCGGTCTGGTTTTTAAAACTATGGTTCTTTCTGCATAAAAATTTAAAAAGAGCCTATTTATATAAATGTTGCATGTTTTAATCTCATTTGGAGTAATTTTCTCATTTCTTTATGCTTGGATGTTAATCTACAATAGTATGATTCTAAAGTTAGTGCCCTCAATTTTATATTTAAAATGTTAGTGTTTGGATGTTTGTTTAAGATATTCATTATATTCTTTGTTAGTTGGTTAAGAAATATTTTTGTTCTAAAAGAATTTTAAAAATTTATTTGTGGAAGTGCACAGGGCACTCACAATTTTTTATTCGGTCTTAAATTAATTTTCCTTATTTCCTTTTTGGGTTGTCCCAAATTAATCATCTTCTTTTTTTTTGAGGAGCTTTTTTCGTTCACTTTCTTTCTCTTTTCTTTGCATCACTTTCAAGTACATAATTTTATTTTTTTAAATTTCGTGCAAAGTCAAACTAAAACCATTGATTTAGACAGAGGGGGTATAATATTAAAAGTTTGTTAGGGGATTTGTCTGTCAAGTATAAAAAATATCTCGCTTAATTTTAAAATCCAAAAAGTATTAAAAAGAATTTGGTCACATTTAGTTGCTTCGACATTAGTTGCTTCGACGTCAGTTTGTCACGGCTCTAGGGGTGAGATAAAGCCGAGACAAATTTTGTCACAACACCTGTGTCGTGACAAAATATTTCTCAAATCTATTTGCCACGTCTCTTGTCGGATTGTGTCTAAATTTTTTGTTAATAAATATTTAAACTAGGGTCCGTGACTAAAAACTTGTGACAAATAATATTTCTTTTGTAGTGTTTAGACAAAGAAACAACATAAACACAAAGGGTCATGCTGCCCCCAATAGTTGCTACCATAGGTGCACCTAAGCTTCACATAAATGACACAGATAAATCATCTGTGCGACACATATGATAATCATCTGTGAGAATCTTGAGCACACCCATGGTAGCAACCATTTGGGGACACCCAAACATTTTCCAAACACAAGACCCAAACAAATGAGTATTTGTCTCGGTGGCCAGCTCACATAAAGGCCAAGCTAATCTCCAAAAACCAAGCAAGTTAATCTTTAGTTTGAATTCTATCCGTGAATAGAAGCCAAGACAAAACTTGTTTAGGAATGGTAAATTAATTGCATATGACTTTCATCCACCAAGGTTTTGTTCCTAGTTCCCTCACCAAGTCATACCCATATTTAATAGAGCAGCTCTTATCGTTTGGCAGTCCCTTGAAAGTATCCCTAATTTGGAACCATCTTTTTCCAGTACTAAGATAGTGTTTGACAGTGCGCTGCTTTTAACAATTTAATTTCTGCTTTGAGTAGAAGTGATTTTGTTCTATTTGGCATATCAGCTTCTGCTTTTCTCCATCATTATTTTATACATAGAACATCATTTCGAAGAATGCAGTTATGAGGTGCTTTTGCTTTTAGCTTTTGTGAAAATAACTTTATCCACAAGTTAATCACTCTCAAACGTCCTCTAACGCTCCTAACATCTATCCGCTTTTGGAGTAAAAGAGTCCCAAACTTAGTACTCCCTCCATCCTAAAATCATCTTCCCAATTCGGTTTATGAGGTTTGACTGAAATTAATTTCAATCTAATTTATTTGATTATACATTTTAAAACTACGTCAAGAAATCTACAAAACAGGAGGTGACATAACTATATTATTTTATCAAATAACTAATGAAAACAAGTAAAGAAAGTGATTATAGTTTGACCATGTGAATAGTGTCTGGAAAGATCATTTTAGGACGGAGGGAGTAATAGGAGTATGGCTCAAATGTGAATCGAGACAAAAATAATGGGACGAACAAAAAAAGTAAAGAATTAAAAATATTGGGATGGAAGGAGTGTAGATCAAAGTTTCTTTTAGAGCTAAAACAAAGAAGACAACGGAAGAAGAGCAACAAAGAAACCAAGAGTAGCTTATGGCAGTATTTAAAAAGCTCTCGTTTCTGTAAAGGAGCAAATAATATGCAATGGAATTAAAAGAGCTTTGGGTGAGAACTAAGATCTACAGTTCAGTGTTTGAAATCTTAGGCTGCTGCTGCCTGGATTGTAACATTTGGCTTAAACACTCCACGGGCGACCCCTCTGCCACTCCGTCGGCCTCTGCCTCCGCCTACAAGAAGACATAGTCTCTTGTCAAAAAACATGGCAACAGTGTTATTCTGTAGGGAGTGAATTATCGTTTTAACGTGTTATAATGGTGAGGCACACATGCACATTATTTCAATCATCGAGAAGGGGTGGACACGGTTCAACAACAGTTCCGTGAAACCAAGAACCTAAACTGGAACTGATGTACTTGGTTCCGATCCTTAGGACTGGTGGTTCGAATTACGGTTCAACAACTGGTTCAGGCCCTCCATAAGATGGAACCGGGACGAGAACCTTATACATAAAGTTTTGGTTCCAGTTTTTGGCCATAAGGTTCCTGTTCGGTGGAACCGTGTCCACCACTTCAAGATTCATTTGAGAAATCTCAAAGTTATGTTGATGTAAAAAGATAAGAAATGGGCAACTAAATGGGGCAAAAATCACAGAAGCATGTGAAAAGTTTCATGTTCTTGCCATTAAGGGCTAAAGTGGGCATTTAAAGGCAGTCAAATGCCATAAGGGATTCTTCCGGACAACTATTTCTATTCCCTGGAGAATAATTTAGATAGTGCACTGAACCCATCTCAAAAAAATGCCAAGGGAAGTAACTACTTAGAGCTAATATCAGATAACCATCAAGTCTTGAAGGAAATAAATAATGCAAAACAAGTACATAAATGAACATACCACGGCCTTGAGTAGGTACTGTTCCCGGTGCACCATAGCTATCATTCCAAATAACGTAGCCTCTCCCACGTCCTCTTCCACGACCACGCCCTCGACCTCGTCCTCTGCCCCTTCCAGCAACACCGCGCTCTCCTTCCCATCCATTGTCTTCATCATTTCTTACTACTCCATTGTTCGTATTCCCTGCCAAAAAAATGGAACTTTTGAGAAAGTATTCTAGACATTTAACAGCCACACTGGTGAAGTTTTTTTCTATCTTGGTTTTACAGTTATTTGGCTTTGGAATAAAGCAAAATGGCTCTTAAACTATCGGTGCTTCTTTTGATAGTGGAGTAACATTTAGCCAATGCAACTTTCAACGCTCATCATTGGCATATGGAAATAGCCTTTGTATGTTTTAACATAGAGGCCACACTGCATACATCCACCCCCCCCCCCACAGCAATGGGCGGGAGCCTTTTGAGGCACTGGGGTAATGTTGTTGTTCTTGTTGTTGTTGGTTTTACAAGGTATTGTGTGTCAAATGTCAATTGCCAATGAATGTAAAAGTGTCATTATTGGCAATGTCTTAGCATTGGGTAGATAATGGACGAAATCGAATGACACATTAATCTTCATATGTTTCTTACTTTCTATGAAGTTTTGGGTAGTAAAGAGAACAATGCATCAAGCGCCAAACATAGTTGTTTACAAGGGTTAGGCTACATGCTTGACCCAATAGACTCCAACAAAGTTGGTATTATGGGTTTTGTAGGGGTGGACTATAAAACAACATAAAATACATATCCTGATGAATGCAAATTCAATCAATCATTAAACCAGTAACTTACTCCTTTCATAATCATATGTGGCCACTGGATTGACTTGATCAGCTGGAATAGGTGGCTGGTATCTGCAAGAATGCAACCATACAGTATGATTTATTTATGAAAAAGTAAGATCGCTGCACTGAAATTGATTTTCTAAAATTAGTTATAGCTACATATTCACACAAATAAAAACATAATGGCAATGTTTTACTCGGATACCCTTTCTGTCACAAACCTTCTAATGAAGGAATAATGAGATGAATATTTTTAATCCTCCTCACCAAAAAGTTTTTTCCCACTAACATGGAAATATCAATTAATCATTTAAAATGATGTGATTGAGAATTACCCTGGGGAAGAGCAGTCCAAGTCCTTCTTAGAAAGGGTGACTGTTATCACTGATACATGACGAATTCTCTCTTGGCTGCACTAGGAAAGAGTGTAAAGGAAGCTTTGTCATGTACTCACAGTTTCAGAGTCAGAAATATAATAACTGGGAAAACATAGGGCTATCTTACGGAAGGAGGCCTTCTTCCAGAGGTTCATATGTATCTGTGATATCAACAGAACCAATTGAAGTATTCTGATGGAGACCTGCAACTCTTCTCTGTCAAAAAGAACAATTACATGTTACTCCGTATTATTAAAAAGACAAAATGAGTTAAAATACAGTTATGGTGATATTAAAAAGGAAAATGTGGTCTCCGGGAAATAATCCCAACTTTAAATGTTGGTAAAACTAATCCGAAATTTGCATTTGTCATCCAAGCATGACCCGCCCTCGAACGCCGTTAGCCTTCTGTTAACTTCTAGAAAATTGTGATCTAACAGAACCACTTTAAACCAAAATAAAATTCTGAAAATGTGTAGAAAAAATATAATTCCGATCTTGAATGGTAGACCAAAATAATCTCAGCCAACTTTTTTTGTAAATGGCACATTTGATAGCCACATGCACAATTAGAATAAAAGGCCGAGATAATTTTGGTCCGATCCAATCCAAGATTAGAATTACTTATATCCAATCTTCAATCTACACATTGTTAGAATTCCAAAGTGGTATAGTCTGGTCAAAATTTTTAAAGGTTAACAGAAGGCTAATGGTGTTAGGTGTGGATAACTTTTGGAAGACCGATGCAAATTTTGGATTTTTCTTAACATTTACACTTGAGATTATTGACAACAATTTTGTGTATTGAAATAGAAAAACAATAACCAAACATATCAAGTTTGGCATATTTTGCACTAAGAGTCTTAGGTTTCATATTTCCCATCAATAAGTCAAGCCTACTCTGTGTAGATGCTAATAGTTCCTATGCCATTGACTGTGAGCATTCGGGATATTGTGTTGACATGGAATGTGAGATTCTGCTGATTCTTCCATTCTCATTTTCCCTCTCCTTTCTCATATTCCATGTCAGCACAATCTCGCACAAAAGCTCACCGCCAGAAAGGTAGGGACCGTTAGCATCACACGTAGCGAAAATGGAATTGTTGATGGGAAATACACTGTATGAAACTTTAGATTATTACGAGTATTTAAAATGGGCAAAATTTGGGGTCATTGGCGTCTATTATTCAAAGTTATTGCATAACGGCCACCTTTATCAATTCAGCCACAATTACTGATTTATTTATTGCTCTACCCATTGCCTTAAGTAATATTTCGCTGGCCCCTTTCTCCTGCACAAAGTTTACAGAATGAACAAATGAGAGTTTACCTACTCAAAACAATAGGAAAAAATTTCTTTGCAAGAAGTATAATACTTCCTGTCCCTAAATAATGTCAAATCTTTAAAGAATACAAATATTAAGAGACACTAATTACTTTGTTTCTCATTAAGATTCACGTTAGGTTGGAACATGTGCATTTAACATGGGAAATTATCATCTATGTTTTCATTGGAAATTAATTAATGATAAATTGATAATAGTTGAAACATACAACACACACTTTCTAGGTTGCAAGAAATATTGATATGCAGTAATTCTAAAGTGGATTTGACAAGTATTATGAGACATAAAGAAGTTAAAAATTTTGACATTTCTTTAGGGACGGACTATGGAGGGAGTACAACAACAACAAACTTGGTATAATCTCTACTTTATTGCATTGGCGCATTTGCTGCCGAATACTTCATAGAAGTAATAAATATTCAGGAGCACTCCGAAAAGTAAGGTGAAATTCTGAGCACTTCTCATATCTGGCCAGTTCCACGCAGGCATTTCCGGTCAAGGAGTGATTGCTCATGAAACTCCACATTATCAGAGTGGTCACAATAATTTATTGTTTTCCTTTATTGGCGTGAAATCGTCCACTTTTGGGAGCATTTAGGTGAAATTTCCACCATGAACAATCAATATCTCAACACTAAGTAAACGAAAAAATCTATTTACAGGAAGAAATAGGGATCCTTTGAATGTTGAAAATCGCAAACGGGATCTAGATCACCTGAAGAAGGCTATCTGCGTAGGTGATGTAGTTCCTCAGCCTCCCCTGCGTGGTGATTCGGATCTCATTTTCTTCCATGGGAGTCTCCTCCCTAGGCTTCTCCACCTTCTGGTACCGATTCATACTTCTCGATCTCGACCTGCGCAACAGATCAACACACGGAGAATATATTACATCTTCCTGAGTTCTTCACTCTGCCAGAAACTTCGATCGAAAAAATTAAGCGCAAATCTTACAGTTTTGGGGGTGTGAGGACGAAGGCCCGCTGTAATGAAACGATGATTGGTTCTCTTCTGTGACTAAATTGCAGAAGATGGGTGTGGGGCGTCGGCGGGAGATTCGTCGGTTGGAGGAAGAGTAGGGCAGAAATTAACGGTCATATAGGCACCAGGACCGGGTCCAACTGTCCGTGTGTCCATCTCTTAACTCTTTAGTCACATTTCCAATAATTTAAGTTGTAGTGTAATTTAAGGGAGCATCTAAAATGACATCAGTTACTTATACACTAGTTGCTTACACCAGTTCGTTTGGGGTACATACAGTGCTCCGTTTGTAAAAACGACGGTTCCTACCCCCCTAACCCTACCCCTAAACCCCCACCCCAGCCCCCCTCCCGCCCCCTCCCTACCCTGGCAGTACGCAGTGTACTGCCAGGGTAGGGAGGGGGGCGGGAGGGGGGGCTCGGGTGGGGGGGGCAAGGGTGAGGCTGGGGGTTTAAGGGTAGGGTTAGGGGGGTAGGAACCTTCGTTTTTACAAACGGAGTACCGTAAATACCCCAAACGAACTGGTGTAAGCAAATGACACCAGTAGCACTGGTGTCATTTTAGACTTACCGTTACCTAAATAGGACTAAAAGATAATGACTTTCTCTATATAGGACTATATGTTTTTATTTCTTAATGTATGACCATTGGTTATTATCTATTAGTCATTATTCAACTAAATGTCTAGCATCACTTGGACATTATTCTTCTCACTAATCATTATTAAGTCCTATTAAGGGAATAAAAAAGTTTAAGTCCTACATTGGAAAATGACTTATGTTTTAGTCCTATTCAGTTCAAATTTCACATTAAAAATTTATTCTAATGTATATATGAACTAATCTTTAAAATATTAAATCAATATTCTTATTACATAAAAAATAATCATAAAATAAAAAATATTATTATATTATAGCATGAATGATTATTCTAATATATGAATCAACTAATTTTATTTCATTAAAAAATAATTATAAAATAAAAATATTGATTATATTATAATATGAATTATCATTACAATTTTCAAATTTATTATAAAGTCAGTTCAAATTATTGATTTTAATTTTAAATCAAATCATAATTAATCAGATTAGATTTAATGAGATCAGATTAGATCAGACCAGATCCAATTAGATCAGATCAAATCAGAACTACAAAAAATCAGATCAGATCAGAAAAAATAAGTTAAACGGAACGGAGCCTAAGACGATTAGTTTTTTTTTAAAAATTTAGCGTTGTTAAGTATTAATTAAGTACTTTTTAAAAATTTTGATGAAATATTTTGTGTTTTTATCAATTATTTTTCCATTTTTATTTTTAAAAAAGTTGATTTAAAAATGTAAAATTATTTATTAATCAGGTAATGATTGAAAGAGCTTGAAATGGGCATTAACGACTACACACTTTTTTTGCTCCAAGTGTGTCTTTTGGCATGGTGTCCACATGGCGGAAAACGCCCCAAAAAATCTTGAACCACTACGCATGGTCTAAAGGTGTGTGTAACAACAAACTCAAAATAACAACTTTAACTGATGGGCCGTTGGGCCAACTGAGCGGCCCAGCCCAGAAGTCCTTTGCACCCACGAAGCTCAGCAAAGCCTACAAAGAATCTGGCCCTGGAGACCGAAGACTGGGTTAAAAGCAGGTCGGGTTTGCTGTGCCCTTGATCGTGATGGGCACAAAACCAAAGAAGGAGAGCTGCGGCTGCGGTACGAAAGACGGCAACTTTTACGGATCCACTGAGAATTTTACGCGATTTGAATACCTTATTTGTTAATTTCCTTAAATGTATTATGAGAACCCTATAAATAGGGGAGGGACGCCATGAGAACCCTCAAGTTAAGCATAGCCCATTATCACTGCAAGCTATGTACGCTCAAGCTCTAAATATTCAATAACAAATCCGAGGCGATCCGATCACCAAGTCGGATCTTCTAGTGGAATTCTTGTCCATCAAAATGGTGCTCTCATTGAGAGTTTGATGGATTTAGCTCAAGAAAACCTTTGCGAAACGATGGTGCAAACATGCAACGCCAACCAACCCACTGGCAACTCACACCCAGAGGAAGGTAACGCCACTAGAGGCTGCGAGATCCCGATTAGGGTGACAAAGGCCGAACTCCTCATCCAACAAATCTGTATCACCCCCAAATAATTCAAAGAAATTCGTGGCCGCCCTCATTCCCCACCGAGATATTGTGCCTGACGATGTGACGCGGGCACGCGCTGGAAAAAAAGATGGGCCGGAGGGGTTGGTTGAGAAGAAGAAGAAGAAGAAAACTTGACGTTCCCAGAAGAAAAGGGCGACCAAACCCAACGGGAAGGCGATCGTTGAAGACGATCTGTCAGGATTAGACGAGGAAGCCAAATCCTCATCGTACGAACATCTCTCCGCCTTTGAAAGGCTAGGAGACCCCAATCAGAAGAAACCCCGGGTTTCTGCGTTTGACTGACTGAACGCCGGTTGCTCGTCCCAAAAGGGAGACCTACGGGAGAAGATCAAGGAGTGAAGAGGGAAATCCTCAGCAACCTCTCAGGCCCAGTCATAGAAGAAAAAAGAAGTCGACTACCGATAAGGAGGTGGACGACCTCTAGAGGACAATAGGGGAACTCAAAAAGAAGTTCGACGAACGGAACCCCTACTGCCAAATAAACCTAGATAAGGTGACCACTTTCTCAAAAAGGGTGATGTCATGTCCTCTCCCTGAAATCTTCAAAGCACCGTAGGTGAAGGCGTATAACGGGACCACTGACCCTCAGGATCATTTGTCACGGTTATGAGCTAACGTGGTCATGCTAGTTTACCCGGAGGAAATAAATTGTCGCTACTTTTTGGTGACACTAGAAGGCCAAGCCTGTGAGTGGTTCTATAAGTTACCGGAAGGATCTAATGATCGGTGGAAGGACCTGACCAACAAGTTCCTTGACCATTTTGCAACGTGCGACGACAAAAACTCCCTTATTTTCACCAGGTATACGAAAGGGGGAATGGCTTTGGGACTTCATATCTCGTGTGAGAGGGAGGTGAGGGATGTCCTGGGGGCGGATGACCAAGCCTTCATCGCGATGCTTCAGGCAGCACTCCCCTAGGGGGATGTCCCCAAGGAGCTGTGGAGGAACCCACTCCTAACGTATCAGAAGATGTTGGCAAGGGCCAAGTATCTGGCGTTGGAAGAAGATGACGAAGAGACACAAGGAGAGAACCAAAAGGGCAAGAAAGTTGCTCCAACGGTAGAGGAAACCAGGGAATGGAAAAGAAAGGACTACGCGAGGGTTCTAAACCCAAGAGGGTATCAAACAGGTAGGCTGCATGTTCACGTTGTTCATAACCTCCCAGCTCCCTCTCACATCCGAGAGAGTAATAGCGTTCAGGGCGCACCTAAGTATTGTGAGTACCGCCGTAATAGAACCCACAACACTACGGAATGCACTATGTTGGAGAAGAAAATGGAACAGTTGATCGCCTATGGGCTAGCGCTAATGGGAGACTGACAAGCCCGAGGGGCGCGAACATGGAAAAGGCTAGCCGCTACCACGGCGATCACCAACAGAGATGATCGGAATGAAGGAAGGAGGCACATGGGGAGAGAGTGTGACAACCTAGATGAGGACGAAAGGCTGAATTGGCGACACTTGGGATGTCGTTTCACCATGGGTGGTAACACAGGAGGAGATTCAGCATCCTCCAAAAAGAAGTGGAGAAATAAGGTGCACGTGAGAGAGGTCCAAAGGCCTCCCCTACCAAAAAAGAAGAAACAGGAGTCCATTCTATTCATTGATGAATATTACCTGCTGTTACCCAGGCCTCACCGGGATGCCCTGGTGATCAAGGTGGAAATTAACAAGGTGGTGGTTCATCGGACCTTGGTAGAGACAAGAAGTTCGGTGAGCATAATGTACAACAACACGTTCTACGAGTTGGGTCTATCCCAAGTGGATCATAAGGCCGATCTGTACACCTTCATCAGGATTTACAGGAGACAACATAGAAGCGGAAGGAACGATTATTGTCCAAGCTGAGGTTGGAGATGGAACCCACCAAGTCCGCCTCGACATGGAATTTATGGTAGTGCACCTTGGTTGTGCACACCATCTAATTCTAGGACGACCAGGCCTGGAGGACCTGGAGTGCGTTATCCCCCTGACGCATCTATGTATAAAATTTCCAACCCCCATGGGAGTGGGTGTGGAAAAAGGAAACCAAAGTCTATCAAGAAAGTGTTATGTCAGGGCGACCAAAAGCTATGCCCGAATAGACAAGAATGTTAGCATAATTTGCACTGTGATCCAGAAGGAAGGAGCTCAGCCTAGAGCAGAGCTAATGGAAGAAGTAGAAGAGGTGGTGTTGGATCCGATGAAGCTTGACCGGAAGGTAAAAATAGGGAAAAAGCTACAGCAGGAACTACGGGGCTTAGAGCATTCAAGGTTCTATTTGCATGGGGACCAAAGGATATGCCTGGGATCGATCCAGGGATCATTTGTAACAAATTAGCGGTCGACTGGAGTCAGAAGCAGTTAAGCAGAAGAATCGGTTCCTCTCTTCAGAGAGAAGGGATTTTGTGGCCAGAGAAGTGAGCACCCTACAGTCCATAGGACATATTCTGGAAGTTTGATACCCTGAGTGGTTGGCAAACATGGTCCTCGCACCCAAATGAAACACATGGAGGATGTGCGCTAACTATACCGACCTGAACAAAGCATGTCCTATGGACCCATTCCCACTGCCCAACATTGACCAACTAGTGGATGAAACACAAGGTGCGAGTTGATGAGTTTTATGGACACATGGTTGGCAGAAGAGGGATCAAGCCAAACCGCATTAAGTTCGAGCGATCCTCAACATGGAACCTCTGCGGAATGTCAAGGAGGTCCAGTAGTTAGATGGAACGATAGCTGCTCTCAGCAAATTTCTATCTAAGATCGCTGATCGAGCAGCACCATTCTTCAAGATGATCAAGAAAGCCAAAGGGTTTGCATGGACCGAGGAATGTCAACGGTCATTTGAAGCATTGAAGGCCTATCTCCTCTCCCCACTGATTCTCTCGAAGCCAGAGTTATGGGAGACGCTTTACCTATACTTGGGTGTCTCTCCCCAAGCTGTGAGCTCAATACTAGTTAGGGAAGAGGAAGGTGTGCAATAACCAGTGTATTATGTAGC